ATTGCAATGATGTACATATGAGCAGTCCAGTTATGTATAATGGCACATAGACTTAATTCCACTTCATGTTTCTTATTTCATATTAAAAGAATTGTTATTTAATCCATCAAATTGATGCTGATTTGATTGTTTATAATTTTAGCAATTAATGCCAACTGATCCCTCAATTTCACTTAATCTTAAAAAATTGTCGGCTGAAGAAGAATTTCCAAACTTGGCCAAAAATCAGACTTGCATGGCAAAAGTTCTTACAATTCAAATGTACAAGAGACTGAGGGCCAGAGCAACCCAAAGTGGCTTCACACTGGATGATATCATCCAACCTGGTGTTGATAAATCTGGTAAGTCTCATTTCAATTTAAAAAAAGACTCCTTTAGTTTTCAGTTAAAAGCTAATAATGTCACATTTTACAGCAATGTAAATTGACACATTTGTAAATGATACAATTACGATACTATATGCTGTATGAAATATGAACCATCCATCCTTCAATATCAAGGGGTATTTCAATTCTGCAAGTCTAGTTTGACATAGTCCTGGGGATTTGCTAAGGTGACATTTGATCACATGATATTTTAACCACTGCTTACAACTGTTCCATTTTCACTGGGTGAGTGTTCCACCGTCATCATCAAGCCCTGATCTGATCTTTTGTTTTACAGCAGGATAAATCATAAGATTTGTAAAGAAAGAAAATAAAAGAATAGAAAGACTTAAGGATGTGTAATGTTTAAATAAAAATGAGTTCTGTGATGTTTTTACATTATTGGCCTCAATGAGAAACACTAACATAAAACTATTGATTCAATCAAATTAATTGAAAGAAGTGAATTCTAAGCAATATTTTCATAAATTTTACAACTTGAAACAATAAATAGCAAATTATAGAAATGATAAATAAAACAGGAATTGAATTGAATTCACTGACTCCCATTCCTCAGCACAAAAGCACAATTTCAGGGAGCTAAAGCCCATCCTCAGGAAGCATTAAAGTTGCTCAGCTTTCATCATAAAATGAATTATACAACAATGCCGCAGGCCACCTACAGTCTCCTTCCCTTTCCTAGTTTGTGTTGATTTCCCCATTTTGGGTTGCTTCCCCCTTGCTTCCTAAGTTTATATTTGCCCTCTGTCCTGAAGGATGAGTGTAAAGTGTTTTCACAGCTTTAAATGTCACTAATAGGTGCTGTAATGTAATGTAAATATGGATCTAATGCAGTGATTCATCATAGGTGTCAGTCCTTTAAAGTTAAGTTGACCCTTTCATTGGCCAGCCTTGTGTATTTGTTTCTGTGCTTTTTCAATGGATAAAGCACAATAATACAATGAAAAATGAATCAAAATGTCCTGTTACCTTTTGCTGTAATTTTTGTGCTGTGATTAAAATTACTACAGTGGATTTAAACTAAAATATCTGTTTTCCACATGTGAAAAAGAATCTATCCATCTACTCCCCTAGATTGATTGACAAGAGATCTGATTTGAAATTATCTGTTAGGTTATCTGTTCTTGTCCTTCCTGGAGAACAACCTGTTGTTTGTACATCAGTGGACATTATCAATGTTTGGCTGAGTTTCAAGTGCTAATGTTGTCAGCATAGTGGGTGTTCTGTTCATCTGAGAATGATTGACAGTTTCAAATTGTTGTATTTAAAGCTGTGAATGTCTAAGCTCTGGTGTATAATAGTTTCAAGTGGAATGTACCCTGTAATTCCAGTCTATGAATTAAAGTCACATGTGACTTAAAAAGATGTTTAGTTCTGAATTGCTTAAGATTCAGTTGGTAATAAGATAAGCAGCCCCTGCTTTGTGGACATGTAGATTTTATTATTTTTGCAGTCCTTGACTTTTTCTGTTCCTGAATAAATGTCTGCTTATACATATGATTGTACAGTTGCATTATATAAGTTGCATGTCCTAATGACTGTTAGGGAAAAAGCAGCAGTGAGTGGGTGAACTGATATGACATAGCCCAAATGGTTAGATAGCTCTTCACACTGCCATTGGAATGTCATTTCTGAGTGTTGTGCAGTGAAGCCTCTCATGATAGCCAGCAGGTTGTGAGGCACATCCTTTTTGAATGTTAAATCATCAGCAATCCTTCAATATTTCAGAGTGCCTGTAGATTGAAACATTACCTGAAATGCTTGAGTATCTTGTTGACAGCATTAAAACATTGCCCTCTGCAGATTTGTACAGTTTTTCTCAATACACCGCTGAGCAATGATGGAGAATGGACATGTGAACTTCCCTTGTAAATGTCCCAGCATTAGCAGGCAATATGCTCCCTTGAAAAGCTGATAGACAGAAAGAACCTTTCACTCCAGAGCTGTGTGGAATTATCACTAATTCACACTGTCACTGACAAGATGGGTTTCAGCGTGAGACATGTATGGTGGCCAGGCCCCAGCACAGTCTCTACACATTGGGTTTCAGCTCAGTGCTATGGTGTTTGGTTAGCTCAGTTAGCTGGACAGCTGGTTTGCAATGCAGATAACAGCAGAGTTAAATTTTCCTACACTGGGGGCTGAGGTTACCATGAAGGATTCTTCTTCTCAACTCTCCCCACACCTGAGATGTGGTGTGTCTTAGGTTAAACCACCACCAGTTGTCTCTCTGTAATGAGAGAACAGTCCTATAGTCTGGTACAGCTAAGGCAACTTTACCTTTACCTGTCCACATTAAAGTGCAAGACCTTGGTTGCAGTCATCAACATGGCAGCTCAAGGATCTGTGAAGCCTTGAGGCTAATTGTGGTAAAGGAGTTACTTGCCTGTGAGAGACGAGCAATACTTGGTCATTACAACTTCATGAATCCTTAGAATATCTGAAAAGCTGCTCATCTCTCACATGCGTGTGATTTCATTCGGCCTGACAGAGAAAATGATACTAAAGTTTAAGAATGCAAGTGAGGATATTTTTACAAAAGTGCAAGATTATATACAATTGTGTGTCATCAATGTGCCCTCAGAATATTATCTTATCCTCTCCATCCCACTATGTCTAAGTTCAGTCCTGGATTCCACAGCCAGGGTTGGAGGGATCCTACTCTATCATTGACTATATTGGCAGATCATCCCTGGGGAGTGCTTGGGCCCAATTCCACTGAGAGAGCCCTGTCTAGATGCAGGTTCACTCTTCTCAGCTTGAACCTTTGCAAGCTTTGGCATCACAGTCAATGGAGTTGATGGTATGGGCAGTAGGGAGTGTAATGGGAATCTGGGCTCCTCTGCAAGTCCTGAGAAGAAGCTTCTTGGTAGCCTGCATGTGGTTCCTCCTCTGTCTGGGTGCCTGCTAGTCCCCCTGAGAGAAGGGGGCACCTGGAATGAGGTTGAGGTCCCTCATCCTACCTTACTTTACAGCACTTATGGCTGTGCAGGACTGTGCACACATCTGATAGAAACTGTGTACTGGAAACATCATTCCAGGTAATGGCCAAAGTCTCCATGGAGACAGTTAGGTGCTTGCAAGCCAGAGCTAGCACGGCACTCATAATGTTATGGACTCCTCCATTCTTTAATCCACTTCACTAACTGCATCAGACAAACCTGCCTGTTGTTCCTATGCCTGTCTGAGCATTTGACAGTGATTAATAGCTGACATCATGGGATCCTCTTCTGCGTGGGGCTGAGCAGGTGCCTGGTCTCCAGGAGCCCTGCAAGTGGCAGAGACCAGGGGAGTTCCTTTCTTGACCAGCTGCAGAGACACATCAGTGATGTGCTGCCAAGTCTAATCTATGTTAGAGCGCACCAAGCCAAATGTTTCTGAGTCCCGGAGATACGAGTGAAAGCCTTGCCAAAGCATCCTGTGATGGTTCAGTGGTTTCCTCCTCAGAGATGGAAGAGGGACTGAGGGCTGCCTGTGCTGGATTTGTCAGGGTGGAAGTTTGCTGGGTGCCGCTGGTGCCTGCGTAAGGGAGAGAATTAGTTGTGCAAGAAGGATAAAAGTTTGTACAGATTCAGAATGGGTTAGTGGGGTGGTGCTAGCACAGCACCATGAAGCTCATGGGCTGCTTATCCATGGAATTGTCCATGGCAGTCTCGTGCTCTCCGACTGAATTGAAAGGATTGAGGAAACTGATATCCATCAGTACCCCCAGGCCAGACTTGGCCCAGTTCTAAGCCAATCTGTCCTGCAATGAGACAAAAGGAGCCCTTTGTGAGATGTATGTGCAGTTTCCGAGTTAGTGACTGATGGCCCTGTGAGTGTGAGGTAGCAGAGAGAGGGTGGCACTTAACCTTCCAGAGTACAGAAGAGCATCTATTTTCTTCCTGCACTGCTGTGCTTTCCATTTAACTTGGGACACTGTGCTGACCTGGGCCATTTCCTGTGTCCAGGCTGACTGTGTCTGGTGGCGTGGTTTCCTTTGGTGTTCTACAGTGTAAAGGATGGTCCTCTTCTCCACCAACCAGCCCACCGACACTTCCAGCTCCCTTTCCCAAAGTGGGAAGCTAACACACTTTTGTGGACCACTTCCTCAGAGATAATGATGCAGGGCCACAGGATGTGGCTCAGTTCCTGACTTGCAGAATCTGAAGAATCAAAAGGGCTTTAAATATGGCGCCCTTAGTGTGTACTCTGGAAGGTGCTGGCAGTGGAACACTTAAGCCTCTTTTGCCATGTGATTTGACAGGAAGGCAGTCAGATAGCCCTGTGACCAGTTAATAAGATGAAGAGCAGAAGATTGCATGAAAAGATTTGCTCTGAGCAATGAAGCGAATGAACCAGGCACCACAAATCTCACTTGATAGAGCTTTTTAACTGAAAATGAGAAAATTTAGCCCAATGTTACTCATTTATAGCATTGTTATGGAACCACAGATTTAATTGGCACCACTTTATTTGTTTGCTTGCCCATATAGAACGTTCTTCCATTAGAACTGTGGGTTGTGTGGCAGGAGACGCAGAATCATACACTGTATTCATGGAGTTCTTTGATCCTCTTATTGAACTGTATCATCACGATTATCAGCCAAACAGAATGCACAGGAGCAACCTGAATCCAGAAAACCTAAAGGTACCTTTATAAAGTTCATTTTGTAATTTCTACATGTTACATTTGGAAGGAATAATATGTAGAACAAGATAAGACCATTTCAGCCTGTTCCAATAGGCCTGTTCCAGAGACAGTTTCACAAAGTTCCTTATTAACGTTTCCAGTTTACCTTTCAGTCATGGGTGCAGCCACTCACAAAAGCAATAAAGCAAAGCTCACCAATTCCTATCAACACATGTCTATATGATTCAACTTTCACCAATATTGTCTACAGATCATGTGCTCCCTGGCACAGCCAACCCCACTATACCACTATATACCTTCCACTCCCACCACACACTGCCAGTCTTGAGTGGTAGAAAGACCATTGTCTCCCTGATGTACTTGAACATCTTCGGCTATCGTTTTCCCTATGGTTTTTAATCCATTAAAAATCAGACAGTTTTTTTTAATGAAAAAGATGATAAGTCCTGATGAAGGGTGTAGGCCTGAAATGTCGACTCTCCTGTTCTTCTCATGCTGCCTGGTCTGCTGTGTTCCTTCAGCTCCACACTGTTTTGACTTTACCAGAAGTCTACTCCACATATTTTAAACCTGTGTTGAAATAAAAATTCTGATGTCAAGCCTTACAAAATCATGAAATAAACCAGGAAAAGACAGGCTGCTTCACTACCCCACTGTACATTGGTGCAAAGTTTTCATTTTCAAATCTCTACATAACTTTGCATTCTTCCTCTAGGCACACTTTATCCTCCCACCTCTGTTCTTGCAGCTCTGATCAACTGCATGTTTCCCTCTTCCACCCATTCCACTATTGATGGAAAACCCTTCAACTATCATGCTCCAACAGTTCAAAATTTCTTTCCTAAACCATTCATTGTCTCTTCTCGTCTTCAAAAACTTCCTTAAAAGTACCAGCGGCTCTGTCAACTCCCCTTGTTCACCTCCTGCTTCCGAGTCCCAGTTGTGAAGTGGCCTGAGACACATTAAATGTTTAGATTTACTGTAGCAGACATAAGACTTCATCTTTGTTCCAGTAAAAAAAATTCAATTTAAGTTTCTAGTGACATTTTCAAAAACTATTCATTAACCATTCTAATTCTCCTTTTTCAAGTTAATAATACATTATTTCTTACCTAATCCTTTCTCTATGTTAGTCTGTTTTCAAACTTTAGCACCTGTCTATTCTATTTAGAGAATGTTTTACCATTTGACTTATAAGAGTAGACAATGTTATTTTTAGTCTTTTAATATTGATTTCAAATGGAAATACAGAAGTTCCATTTTACTCATGGTATTGTGGCACTGCCTGTACAATTTGACATGCAGTACATGTCTAGAGTCAGTCAGACCCACCAGAGCTGATTTACTTCCAACGCTATATGCTGTTCTCTATTTCATAACGTCAAAAGCTTCTGCTCCCATTTAAAAGGTTAGAAAATTAAATTTTTATTTCACAGAAAGTCCAGTTTCTAACTTTGCTTCTCATGCTGCAATCAGTACATAGGTAAAGAAGTGCCCAACTTCCTTCTGGAGGTATCCAATTGCTTCTCTTAATGCAAGCCAAAATAGTATCTAGTCAAAGTAAAATTTGTACTGTTATAATCGCAGCTGATGTTATTACTAGACAAGTCAGATTCCAGACTGAAACCTGGCATAATAGATGATGTTTTGTTTTCTTTTGATTTTAACAAAGTGATCTCTCACTGAAACATTAGCACACGATGCTGCAGATTTTAAAAACAAAACTGAAGTTTATTAAGAAAAGAAATAAAGATAAAATAGAATAAACAAACTGTCTCTATTTGAATATTTTTAACTAGACTGTAAAAGTACAATATAACGAATCCCAGAACATACATTCATAAATTGAAAAGACAAACAACTGCTTTTGTAAAGCATCCAAAACAAACTCCTGGTAGAGTACCCAAAAACACTCCTTGTATAGAACCCCAAAACACAACTTATACCAGCTTTGAGTAACCTCTTCAGCATTTTATCCCAATTCTTTAGGTCTGGGAGTATCATTATCTTTTCCCAAACGCAATGTGGTTTCACTATATCTTTCCATTCTCACAAGCACTGGTCTATAAAAGCATCTTCATCGATGGACTTCACAGGAAGTCAAAGCGAAACTAGAAAAGCATCTCTCTCTAAGTTTAAAAAGCCTTTCATGATATTCTAAACTGGAGCTTGTTTATCTTGTTCAGTTGTAAAACCCCACCAATGTGTATTAAAAAAATTAAAGCTTATAAATTATATCGGTCTCAAAAATTCTTTTGAAATAAATCGCAACAGCTACAGAAAAAGTTTAGTTAGTTATGTCCTTTAGACACACAGAAAGCCAACATGTTACTAATCAAAAACCCAAATTTATAATAAATTACAATAAAATCACAGTCTACATTACGTTAACTAACCATGCAATAGGGCTGGTAATGCACAATGACAGGAGCTCCACAAACCTTGAATTGAGTCTACAGATTAAAATTCTTATATTTATGCTGCTAGTATCCATTAATTAATAACAATTGAATGGCTAGTTAATAAAAGGCCTGTAATTATCTATTACCCTTCTCCCTGCAGGGTGGAGCTAATTTAGATGAACTCTATGTGTTGACCTGTCAAGTGAGCACAGGACGTAATGTGGATGATTTTTGTTTCCCACCTCACTGCAGTCGTGGAGAGAGACGTGCACTGGAAAAACTTGCAATAGGAGGTGATTTGTTTTGTTTATTCATCACTGAAGAAACTGGAAATAACAGAAAAGTTAACATCAAGCTCCAGCATTATCCATGTTTGAATCCCTCCAATCAGGTTTTCATTCCTGCCATTATAGAAACATAGAAAATAGGCACAGGAGTAGGCCATTCAGCACTTTGAGCCTGCACCACCATTCAATATGATCATGGCTGATCATGCAACTTCAGTATCACATTCCCGCTTCCTCTCCATATCCGTTGATCCCTTTAGCTACAACGGCCACATCCAGCTCCCTCTTAAATATACCTAACAAACAGGCCCCAACAGCTTCCTGTGGGAGGGAATTCACAGGTTCACAACTCTCTCAGTGAAGAAATTCTTCCTCATCTCAGTCCTGAATGGCTTACCCTTTACTCTTAGATGCTGTTCCCTAGTTTACATAGGTTACATGATATCAATGTTACAAATGGCTTCTCATGTTACTGTGACAAATCCTTTTTCATTTGCCTCAATGTGTGCAGTCTTTGACGAGGTTGACCACACCATCCTCCTTTGAAACCTCCCCCTGTTGTCCAGTGCATGGGACTACTCCCCTTCCACCTCCACCTCCATAACATTCCCTGACATTTGTCTCAGATCATCTGTTGCTGAAACCCTCATTTGAGCCTTTTTAAAAAACTCGCTAGTGTGGATTATTCCAAAACATTCCTGTTGGTCTGCCAAATTTCACCCTTCATAAACTCAAGATCATCCAAAACTCTAGTGCTTGTGTCTTAACTCAATAGAACTCCATTCTCCTATCACCACGAGGCCTACATTGACTCCTGGTAAAGCAGAATTTTAAAATTCTCTTGCTCATTTTTAAATCATGCTCTGATTTTTCACCTCCGTAACACCAATGTCTCCATCATCCCCACAGCCCTCTAAGGTATAGAGTCATAGAGACATGCAGCATGGAAACAGACCCTTCGGTCTAACCAATCCATGCTGACCATAATCCCAAACTAAACTAGTCCCACTTGCCTGCGCTTGGCCCATATCCCTCCAAACATTTCTTATTCATGTACTTATCTAAATGTCTTTTAAACGTTGTAACTGTACCTGCATCCACAACTTCCTCAGGAAGTTCATTTTACTCACAAACCACTGTCTATGTAAAAGAAAAATTGCCCCTCATGTCTTTTTTAAATCTTTCTCCTCTCACCTTAAAAATAGTTTTGAAATTCCCCACCCTAGGGAAAAGACACCTGCCATTCACCTTATCTATACACCTCATGATTTTATAAACCTCTATAAGGTCACCCCTCAACCTCCTATGCTCAGTGAAAGAAGTCCCAGCTATCCAGCCTCTTCTTATAACTCAAACCCTCCATTCCCAGCAACATCCTGGTAAATCTCTTCTGAACCCTCTCCAGCTTAATAATATCCTTCCTATAATAGGGCTGATATCTCCACTGACATCTTCAGAATCAGAGTTTAATCATTCCACCATGAGTGACTGTGTCCTGGGCTCTGGAATTCCCTCTGTAAACCTTTGATCTCTACTCACTTTCCACGTCCTTTGACCAAGCCTTTGATCACCCGAATGCATATTTCCTTAAGTCATGTCCTGTTTTATTTCTTGAAGTTCCTATGGTGTGTTGGGATGTTTTATTATATTAAAGGTGTTGTATAAATGCCATAAATCACAGTGTATAGGGTGACCCCATTTACCTGGCTTACGAATAAGTTTTTTGCAAAATTTGACATTAATGTCAAACCACTTTTTCAGCCATGACATTACATTACTCACGTTAGCACTCAGCCTCAATTTTCCTCCCAGCAAAGATATGTTTTATTTACTGGTACCTTATGACTGGGCGCAAGGGATCAAGCAGGTAATATGAGCTCTTTGTGCATGGAAGTTGAAAACACATTGAAAACACTTTTTGCATTGGATGCCAAGCAAATTTCAAAATAGCAACCACCCACTGTCACTTATACATTCAGTGCATAAGTCAACCACAGTTTTTAGAGGGATTTTTCAATGGTTCAAATGTTGACTCAGTCACCAACATCTACGGTATAATCTGTTGTTGTTTCTCTCCATCTTTAGCATTCTCTAAATCATTGGGTGAATTGAATGTTACCACCATCTAGTGGTAATCTAGTGATAAAACACTACAGCCGTTTTACATGTCATCAAACAGTACATGCAGCTATTGATGATCCATCAACAGTAGCATCTGAAAATAACTCACAGCTTTATGCTATTTTTATCAGTTTCCATTCAAAGAATATTTAGGATGCTGATGAAGCATTCACTCCCACTTCTTCATCCTTTTGTCTGTCTATGATCTCAAGTAACCATACAGGCTTTAAACTAACATAGACTACCTTACACAGAATTTGATCATTGCTCATTTAAAATAAAAATTGCCAACATTTTTGCATTGCAATAGAGGACTACTTCTACAAATAGAACAAAATGTGGAGCCTCTGAACAGGATGAACTTCAGACAAAACTTCTTGTCTTACGTTTACACCCTCTCTAAACTCATCAGCTATTGTTTTATAGAAAATCTGTAAGTGGGCTAGCATTGTGTTGTGCTGAAATATTCATTGTTTATGAATTACTAACTACCCCACCATTGAACCTAACTCTCAAATCCCCACAATTTGTCAGCTTCATCTGATACGACATGATTTAGCTAATCAGTATTATTTATTGAATTTGGAGTAAGTAAAATTCACTTAAATGCAAATACTTTGTTAGAATTCATGTGATATAAGATTAATTTGAGATGATTCATTGCAACCTTATTCTTGATTTGTCTTGTATGTGACTACATCTTTACAAGTTCTATTTAAATATGAATGAAGATCCTATTCGTAACATTTAGCTATAGTGTTAATTTTCTCATTTGTTACAAAGATTCCTATGGGCAAATAATGTCTGTCCAATTGGAGGTTAAACATTCTATGATTCAATTTAATACAAAAAGAAGAGAATTCTCTCTTTATCCCAGACAACGTTCTTCCTCAACCAATGTGGAAACCTATGTGGAAACTTCATGCAGACAGTTTGATTACCAAGTTGTGTATATATCAACTGTGACCACAGACCAACTGATTGGCTGTGTTTGGTTTGGCTCATGGTGATATAAGGTGCTTTATAATCATCAGTTTATTCTTTTTTTTTCTTAGTTTACCTCTGCTTATCGACTTAAGAGGATTAAAAAGTCATGGTCTTAAGATTGCTTGCCTCAATATTTTTAATTTTTAGCTTTCTTTCTATTCTGCTTTCTCCCATTCCTCACACTGACTGCCCATCCAATCTGACTACATTTCCTGATACCATTAAAGGAGCTGTACATATTGTTCTGAACTTCAGGTCATGTCTTAAGCCATACCTTTCTGTTCCAATAATTGACCTCCCTCTACGATTACTTGTCTCCAACACTCACTTGTAACCAGGTAGTGGATGTTTCAATGTTTTGTGGTTAATATGGTTTCAATCAGTCCTCTTTATTTCCTCAGAAAATGTCTCCAGAAACTGAGTCTTAATCAACAACCTTACATCCTAAATCAGAGAAGGATTCAACCCAATTGGCCCTGCTCCTTTCTCTTTCATTTGATTTCAGGCCTTCCCCTCCTCATCTTCTGCCTATAAGTAGAATCAATGTACTTGTTGAAATTACAATATAGAATCAGTCCATTTGCCTGACCCGTCTAGACTGGCGTTCATTCTTTTTCAAAGCAGTAGTCTTAATCCCGTATTGTCCATTCTGTCTGCATATTCACTTATCATTCTTTTCTTCAATCTAGCAGATTTGTAAGTGATTACTGCTTCAGTCAGTAATTCCAAATTCCACAGCCTCACAACCTTTTGTGTGAAAATATATTTCCTTGCTTTTTGTCCTATATCACTCATATTTAAACATATATCTTTATTCTTCTCCATTATAAACCCTACAATTACTTTAAACTGTCCTCATAACTTGAAATACCTAATTTGCCCTGTTCTCATAATAATATTGCCAATTTTAGAAGTCTTCCTTTGTAATTGTATTTTCCTATATCTAGCAACATTCTGACTACTCTGTGCTGCACCATCTCTATTATCCCAATATGCTTCCTATAAAAAATAACCCAAAATGGGAAACTCTACTGTACCTTTGGTCTTACTAATGTTTTATGCAGATTCACCACTATGCCCTCAAATATGCCACTCTAAACAATGTTTCTAAAAAGATAATTTTGTTACTTTCTGTTCCTACCTCACTCCATTACAAACTCACATCACTACGCTTTCTGCTTAAACTGTCCAAAATATCTATCTGACAGCCCATCTTTTATGACAGAATGCCAAATCAGACCGAATAGATCGATGGAAAACAGTATATAGTAATGGATGGATGCCTGTATGATAGGAGAGAACTGAGCATACAGCAATTTCCATTGAAGAATACGACAATTGTTCAAGTGCATCAATAAACTTGCTGTCTTTTATTCCTAATTGTGATATGGATGTCTACTATTATTCGCCATCAATTATCTCAATAGCTGCTGTGAATCAACTGTCATTGTCTGCTGTGATATTTTTACAGTGTAGCCTTCCTTAATGTCATAACTTCTGATTTTTGTCAAGAGATTGGCACCACTGACAAGTAACTAAGGTGCTGTAAGTTAAGGATTTCTTATTTTAGCAGATTTCTTCCCCAAAATACTAATTACTAAATGCTATTTAAAATTGCATCTTTTATTATTCTTTTCCTGTTTTCATATTTACTTTTAACCTTTGACAAAAAAATTGTCGTAACTGAATAGCATTCATTTCCACGTCACTGCTGATATTTTTGTCCATTTCTTCTAGTCTCTTTGTGATTTGCCTAAGGAGACCTCTAAAAATGTGTTTAAGAAAGGAACAACCTGGAAACTGGCCAGTTTCCCTGTGGTGCATAGAGCATACACTGACAGTTGAATAGCGGTAGCAAGCATTCCTATAACAAAGACTGATATTTGCTGTAGCTG